CCTACATCTGCCTGCACCACTCGCGGGAGCATACATGTCTTTCAAGATGCCTTGCCCATGCATTTCATTTTCTAGTGCTTTCAATAGTAAAAGAGTACCTTTTTAGCACAACTACTACACACATGCACATATGCATTGTTTCTGTAATACTGGGGGGAAATCCTTGGTTTTGCCACCTGATGAAGGCATAGTCTTGAAGTGTGTTGCAGAGCACACCCTGGGGTGCTGTACCCACTTCTTTAGGCTGATGGGGAGTGAGGAAGATGAGAAAGAAATGCCAGTCAGACCTTGTCAATACAAACATTTACAGGTGTGATCTAAAAAAATGCTTATTATGTTCCATAAATGCAATGAATAATTTGGAGATGAACAGCCCTGAGTTGCTGGTGTAATGGGAAAGGAACTAGAGGGAAATGAGCAGATGGGGGGTGAGAAGTGGATGAATAGAGTCACACAATGTGGTCTGATTGATTGGCTGCAACGTGTCACTCTGACAGCTTGAAGCCTCCTGCACATGGGTAAAAAAGCATGCCACCCTCCTCTTTCCTCCACAAAACCCTCCAAAGGAATCCTAGCACAATGTAATACGTTCTTGCTCCTGTGGGCTGCAGCACATCAGCATTGTTGTGATGAAAAGCATAGAATGAGGAATCAGAGAACAGGAAAATGTCTTAAGGCAAGCATGGTATGGTACGCTGGCAGTTACTGTTAGCTCAGCGCACAATTTTAGTATTTGATTTTTTATGGGAAACAAAACTGATACCCAACAGACATAAATTCCTGTGAGCTGATTTTCTCCAGCTGTACTTTGACAGGAGTCTTCTGAAATCAGTGCAACTAGAAGGCGTGCATCCAGTCTTCTTACATGTTTTCTGAGTGAACTTGAGATAGTTGCATTCAAATGGCCACACGCATAAAGCCATCTGCTCTCTTAGATATTGATGTACATACCTATGCAGTGCTGTCATTTGAAATATATGGCTGACCTGCTGGAAGAACAGCTGGGTAGTGTTGATTTTCCAGACTTCCAAATATTCTTGCTGAACAGTAAAACAACCATGGGGGGTTTGATTGACACTTTAAATGGAGCACACTCGAATGGCATTTAAGGTGTCAGATATGAGACTGAGAATTCATTTCTCTTTCCGTTTTCATTTTGCTCTCCTAAGCAAGGTCACCTAGCCTTGAAAACTACACTAGGAAAATCTGTGGGCATTGACTTATCTATTTATTACTTCAGAATTAGCCAGCTCAGGGCCTCGCACAGTGACTGTATCATATGTGATACAATTATCTACTTGTGTTAAACTTCAACTCAACCACACCCTCCACACCGAAGCCTCTTCCAAACTGGTTATTGAGAATTGTTACCTGAGAAAGGAGGAAAACCAGAAAGGTTTGAATTCAAACATACTCATTTAGGATTCCAAAGTTGCAGCGAACACAGGGAATGTGCCACATACCAGTGTATGCATAGCGGATACACTAATGAAGTATTACTGGGTATCACTAAGAGTCTGGCTTCAGGTTCTCTTCTAGATCCCATCAGGTATTTTTACACATTGATATTTACGATTTGGCTTAAACAGTAGTAGAAGAGGGTGCTTTGGTGTTTTTAATGCAAAGATGGTTGCAAATTAAAAGGACTAGTCAGGGGAAAGGTGCTTAGGTGCCTGACTGCAGTTTATTTTTCTATGGAAATTAAGTTGGAGTTAGATACCTGAAGACCTTTCAAGCACCACGATTCAAGCACCAAAATTAGAAACACGATTGTAAAGTTCTCTGAAGAAAATGTTAATGCAGTTAAGCCAGGCAGCAGTGCTTTTAAAACAGAAACTAGTCTTAGTCCTAGGTTCAATACTAGAGTCAGCATACAAATCCCACTAAATATTGTGTAAACTTGCACATGCCTAGAATATGACCGCTTTCCTTGAACCAAATGGGTTAGATACAGAAAGGCAAGCTGACACCAACATATAGGGTGCATTCTTTCAAATAGTATTTGTCTTATATTAATTTCTACAACCACAAGATATAGTTACCGGCCAGTTAAAAATGGTTTCTGCAACAGCAACCTATTGCAAATCATCTTTTCTCTGTCATTAAATAAAGTATATCTATGGAATACATATTCCAGGATGTTCTAGGCCCATAAAACATATCTTTCACACTGAGTTATTACATTAGATTGTGAGCTGCATTGATATATACTGCCAAAAAGCTTTTCTGAGCATCTACATTTTTAATACCATAAATGAATATGGGAAAATTATATTAGAATCTTGTTAAGAATTAAGTAATTTTCTCTTTTTTTCCAATATAAAACTAAAGTTAAAAGCAAAACTGGGAACATTTTTCAGCAGACCAAAACCTGATGCATTTGGAAAACAGAAATCCAAACAAGACAGTAAGTCCTTTATTGTGAGGTCTTAGAAAATACCGATGATTGTTTAAATTACGATTGTGCCCTTCACATAGATGTCTGAACTGTTTGCTTTAGGATAGGGGTCTAAGAAGCTTCTAGCAGAAAAGTCAAAAAGATTGTTGCTGCAGAACTTGGGAGATAACTAAAATCTCAGCTGGATCTCTACATTATTCAGAAAGGCTGGACACTGTGTTTGAATCATTTGGCATCTTGAGCTTGGAGGTCAGGGGGGCTGCAATACATTTGTTTGATGCTCCAGATATTTTGGCTCTGTCTGAAAAGGAACAGCGTAGGACCTGCACACAGGGTTTGAGACTATGATGTTGCTCCCAACCTGATGTGCATCTGAGTACCGGTATGGAGAGAAAATTGATATCTTGCTATTATAGATGCAAGAATATATTTTTTGTGTGTGTAATGAGATGAGAAAGAAAATCAACAGTGAACATAAAATGCAAAATTGTGAGATTTGTCACATGTGTCTTAGAGCAAAACTTTCTGCTGTTCAGCCTGGAGAAGGCTGTATGGAGACTTTATAGCAGCCTTCCAGTATCTGAAGGGGGCCTACAAGGATGCTGGGGAGCGACTTCTTATAAGAAGAAGTATCAATAGGAAAAGGGCTTCAAGCTGAAAGAGGGTAGATTTAGATTAGACATTAGGAAGAATTTCTTTACTGTGAGGATGGTGAGAAATTGGCACAGGTTGACCAGAGAAGCTGTGGCTGCCCCATCCCTGGCTGTGTTCACGGCCAGGTTGGATGGGCCTTTGAGCAACCTGGTCTAGTGGAAGGGGGCTTGTAAGTATATGATCTTAAGGTCCTTTTCAACCCAAACCATTCCGTGATTCTATGCTAGCAAATGCTTCAATGGATCTGTATTGTAGAGCAGTGGATCAGACAGGAACAATACATTGGTGACAAGTATTAACAAGGTATTATTTAATAATAATTTAAACTGGTTGTTCAGAAGAGAAAATAAGGAGGTGTTGATGTTGCAGTTTGTATCCATTCTGTACCGGTTTCAAAGCCACAAGATGTTTTTGCTGCCACATACTAGAAATATGTAAATTGCCATTTTGCCTAATCTCCTGAACCAGCTGCCTTTCTATATTAAAATGCAGTCATAAACATCACGCATGTCATGTTACTGTAAAAATACACAGCAAAAACATTTGAGCAAACATATTTTCTTTGAAAACTTTGGCATAAAATTTTCCCATTGAGCATCCGGTTTTTGTTATCTCTCTTCAGAGACATTTTTTTAAATGAAATTTTTTTATTATGCTTTAATGAAAGCTCCAGGCATAAGAATAAGAAAAATAATTACACAAGTTATTCACAGTCATGGTATTCATTCCTGATCAAGTGCTGCTGTTACCAAAGGATGCAATTTATTAATGATTCTTATCAAAAGAGGTGATATCTAATATCATGAAATAACGAAGGCTTAAACTGAGGTTACCATAATGAACAACTGGGAACTACAAACAGATCCTATAGGGAATAAGAGCTACCTCTAATTCTAAAAGCTATCCATGAGAAAACGGGCTCTGTAGAAATATATTATCCACTATGCAAATGCAGGCTCTTGGAAATGCTACCCCTGTATTTGAAAAAGTTCCCTTTTTAAATCTTCCAGATACAGCAATTTTGTTCTAAGGCTTATTGCCCACTCCAAACTGGGAGGCAGCTCCTAGCCTAAGCCATAGAAAATGGAGGATAACAAAACTCTTTAGCAATAAACTCAACAGTTCCTCCTTCCGCTGCACAATGAGCAAACACTGGAGCACACAGACCTCAGAAAATGAAATAGTCTTGAATTTTCCCACTAGTTTAAACCTGTTAAGCATTTGTCACTACAAGAAATCACCATGCTCCACTTTCTCTAGTGTTTATTCACTTATATGTTGGGTCTGGTTTATATTTTTTCGGCCAGTAACAACAAATAAATAATGCTTCCCATCTTGAAGACAGAAATGAATTTTAAATAGACTACCCCTGAATAAAGCTCTTCAAGGGCATAGGCAGGGAAATGGATAAAGTACAGGACTGGGCACACCAAAAGGTCCTTTGTTGTTGTATTAACATTGGCTTCTTCATTGATCTTGGGTAACTCATAGATGTTTTGCTTCTTAAACCTCTACATCAGTAAAATGTGATTTGTCTACTTTAGGTCTGTAACAAGCATGAGCTGAGACTCACTTCTGCAAGCACTTGTACAGATGACTTTGCTTTCTAACAAGCAGTTGCACAAGCAGTTTTGCCTAGGAAGACATTAAGCACCAACAATCTCATGGTATCTCAGAATCAGGCCTTTAAATTGCTAGGTCTGTCCAGCATTATGGATGGTAGCTAAGCATTAAATTATAAGCATTTGAGATCTGCAATGAGTCATATCGCTGTTCATATTTAAAGGACTGTTTCTCAAATTCTGTACGAGTTCCACAGAAAAGAATTAAAAGGCCATTAAGATGAAAATGGACAAAAGCAAAAACCATAAAATGAAGCAAAGGGACTCCAGGAAGGTGAGTGCTTCTGCAGCAGCCTTCGCTAGCATGCATATCTTCTTGCTTTCAGGTCCCAGTCTGTGGTGGAAGCTGGCACGCTGAAACATGAAGACCAGGGAGAAAGCGAGAACACCCAACCGCTGCTGGCTCTGGACTGAGCTCCCATGTGCTCAACATGCACGTATACATCAACAGACTTCCACCATACCAGGAACCCACAGAGCACACAACACACATACTCATGCCCGTGTTTTGCTTGAGAACAAGTCCTTCATGTTTCTTGACAAGTAACAACTGTCACCAGCCATCTGTCTGTGAAGCCAACACTGAACAAAAACTGAGAAATTTCTATTGACACAGGAGTCTGTCCACAGAAAAAAACCTCTTTCTTTTTTTGACTTACGACATTAAAGCATTGGAAATTATGGGACTGCATTCTCTGTTAAAGAAACCAGGGTGTGTCAGTAGCTTTCCTGAAGACTCCATCAGGGACGGTCAGTTTTACAGAAGCAAAGGTTAAGTGTGTTTTAAAGAGAAACAATTCAAACTTAAACAACTTTGCACTGTAATCATCAGTTTAATCTGGCACAGAGGGCAGAAACAGCAGCATCAACAGAGCACTCAAGTTTTACAGGAAGATTTTGCATTAAGAAAACAAAACAAATCAGTGAGAGCATAATGCCATTCAACATGACACTTTGTGACCACCTCATCCATGCTGCTTACTGGGGGTCACATTTCGACATCTAGCAAAAATTACTCTTAACTTTCAAAGCCCGTATGAAACTGTTGGCTAAGTGGAATGAGCAGTGTGGGCAGCAGATGCACACAATATGAAATGCAATTATTTAATTTAATGATGTGTTTTTCCACAGGCAACTTGGGAGACTATTAGAGAAGTGTGTGTGTGCACATGTGTGCGTATGCGGAAGGGGGCTGCTAGGGAGACCCATTGGACGCATTCAGCAGTGATTAATGGTTCAATCCAGATTGTTTCATTTAGGTCACAACAGCAAATATAAGCTCGGCAGAACCATTTACCCCCTTCCCTCATGCAGTATAGTGAAAGGTGTAGCCAGAAGGGTATGCTTATTGCAGATGTGGGCCATTATTAAAATGAAAAAGGAAAACTTTGAATTTATTATTCAGTACAAGCTTCTGCCAGAAGGAAATGTGGACGAATAGAAGAACTGAAATGCCAAAGATCAGTTTGTTATTTCTCTGTTTGCTCTAGCTGCAAAGAGAGCCCCATCTCTTCATTGAAATGGAAACCAGATTAAAGAAATAAAAGAAAAATCGTTATCAAATTGTATGTGCAGTGACTTTATTTCCTAAAACAGTTACGACCACTGTACACACCTTTAGCCTTCAATTAAATTGCCATACTTTGACAATTTACTAGAACAAGCAGTTGACAACAACATATCGAAGGTAGCAGTGTAAACCATATATATCAATGAGATGATAATGGGCACAAGAGTTTTTAATGTGCCTCTGGAACATCCACTGAATTCCTAAGTGATATACTGAAGTGATCATATAGTTCAACTGGACACGGTCAATCCTAAGAGATGGACTAACAAAATACTGCCTTTATCTACAACATTTTACGTCTGTACAGGGCAGAAAGGACATCCTGCCAGATCCTATCAACACATCTGGGGTTTACCCTCCAGTATTTGTACTGGATAGCCTCATCCAGGCTAACCCTTCTTCTGCAGCAGCATGTCATTGATACAAAGCCTGGCCTCCACAGTAGACAGCGAACCTATAAGGCAGTGAATGGTCCCAGTAAGGCAACACAGGAGTCAGGAAAAAGCAGCAGAGGCTTGTGGGAATATTAAACAGATAAGACAACTGAGCCCATTTATCTTTGGGATTTCTTCCATTTACCCTCCCCTGGCATTACCACCTATTACAGAAAACTAGATGTCAACTCCTGATAAAAGGACACAGTTCTGCCTCCCTTGGCTCATGAATTCTCACAAGCATTTGGATTTGTCATAGAGAACTTGCCTAAAGCAGGAAGTAAAAAAACAAACAGACAATAAAAGGTAGGCACTGACTGCTATACTGCAGCATTAATGGAAACACTTTGGGTTACAAGTTTTTCTCTGTTAATACACTCACCACTGAATCTTTGTAATGACCTGTTACAATCATTGTTCGTTCATGTGGGACTTGTTCTGCCCAGGAAGTGCAAATACCACTGAAATCTTGTCCTTGAGGATTAAACCTTGCAGAGGATTATTTATTTTCTTTAGCTGTGACATGAATACATACATATGATGCCTTGTATATAACTGTATGATGCCTGTATTTAACTGTAGGATCTTGTACAGACTGTGCTTGCAAGCAAGGTAACTACAGGCAGGGAGGAATCTAGCTCCTATCATTGTAATGAGTATGTACTGCTTTTAAAGAAGAGACTATATTGCCCTTTTCTGGCATTTCCCTCTGCAAATAAATCTAAAGGAAAAAATATTTAAATTGCAATGGTTCTCCATTTTAAAAAACATTTCTATTCACTTCTTCCATTGGTATTTCCAATGTTCAAAAGCTTTTTCAAGATGAAATATTATTTGGCAAACAGGAATACTTAAATAATATATGACTTATTCAGGGCATGATTTCTGTAGTTTGCTGTATTGTCCACCATATATATCGCTAATCCTGTAACTGTAGCTAACAAACAGATATGCTCTCAGCTCCTTAACAGGGAGGCATTGAGTAGATTCACTTCAGTGTTGCAGGAGCTATTCATAATATATTTTGTTATATTCAAGGCACTTATGATTTTAAGTGGCCAATATATCACTACACAATTTAATAAACAGTGCTACTTCAGCACACACACATCTCGGGTAGATTACTTTTATATTTGCCAATTTTATCTTTTCGCCATTTGCAATAGGAAAAGATAAAGTATAACCCTTCAAAGGAACAACGAAACAATGTGAAGGATGGCATGGGTTTTCATAAAGAAAGTCCCAAAGCTTTTACCACTCATTTAGTATTTCCTCTGAGCTATAGAAACTGAAATGCAACATTAAGAAAAATGTTCCTAAACCACAAATTTTGATTTAAACAGTTCTTGATTCTCTCTTTACAAACTATGTCTTTATTATAGAGAATTACAAAATACTATATAATTTGTATTGCTTGATCACCTTACAAAGATACACCCTGTGACTATAAAACTACGAGCAGATTTAATTACTTATGATCTTTTTACTACTTTACCCCCCACAATAACAAGCACCTTGTTCCCAGTTTAGCACTTGACTCTCCTAAAGCTCTGCAAAATATCTTCAAATATTTTATGTTTTCATTATGATTAAATGATAACTGTTACTTTCTTGTATATTGTGCATAGTCTCAGAGTTATTTTTGACACAGACAACTTGTTAAAGTTTAATTATCACAGCTGTCTAAAACTGACTTAGACCAGAGAGGATTTTTCAGTTTAATATTCAAAAAGGAAATTAAAGTGCACACCTCCAGAAACCGGTTACACTAATTTATGGTGCAATCATCATGTGTTACATCACATTACAAGATTTAATTACCTAGCAAAATACAAAATCTGAAAAGCATTCGCTTTATGGCAACGCAAAGCTCTTATCTGTATTTTGCTCCCTCAAAGGTATCATTCTGGTCATGAGACTTAGGTACCGTGATGTAGTCTCGGTAGTACAAAACCACTGAGCATTTACAAATATGATGACTGTTCAGTGTCTTTTGGGCAGCAAAGCTGAAGCTGTGGAGACTACGTAACCTCAGTGTCTCCTTCCTTAGTGTAGTATTTGTCTCTCAAAACCCTCAGTAATGTTGCCACTGCTCATGACAAGCTCTGAGCATCCTAGCACACCTATCCACACCCAGCTAGTTTTGTGGGAGAGTAGGTAACAGCCAGTCATAAGCATCAACTGTGCAACCTCAGGTCTCTGTTTCCTGTTAGTGTTCTTAGAAATCAATAGTGCAGGGTGCTGCACCCTCCATCTCCCATTTAAATAGTACAGATCCCCCAAAAAACAGCTAACTGCTTAAATATCCAAACAGTTTTCTTTCTTGAAAACAGGCTTTTTTACCATAGCAGAAATTCTGTATGGCAAGTATAGAACATACAGTGAACAGTACTGGGATAAGACTACTTCAGCAGTATGTCATACACTTCAAGACAAGGAGAACACCATTAGGTCATTTAAAGGATCTTTCTAGCACACTGTATGATGCTGGCAGCAGAAGTTAATAAAAGTTAATAACCTGAAGCTCTTTGTCTGCTCTGCATTCTGGCAGAAAAGCAAGCCAGACCTTGTCCTTCTGCCCAAAGCACAGGAAGTTCTTCAGCTATATTTTTTTTCTGCTGAATGAACACCTAAGGACAGCCTAGAAGTATCCCCTGGAAGGAGGCATCCCAGACCCTTGCTGGGTAGAAAACAGATATCATAACACAAACTTTTCTAATGAGAGGAGAAACAGCAGTTCACCACATAAGCCTAAGAAGTTTAAGGTCTGAACCTACGGATGTCACATTTGCTTGTTATCTTCCAAAGTCACATTATCAAACTGAAGGTTGCTGCTAAATAAGAGAACGATTTTGTTTTAGAAAAACAAATCCTCACTAAGCAGCTGGTTATGCAAGTTTCAGTTTGCATTTTCAGGAAGGCAAGAGAAGGCTACACAGGACAAACATTAAATCTGATCATATGTAGTGTTTTCCTTCTGCTAATAGCTAGAGATGCACTTACATATATGTTGTTCATTTTAAAAAATAGTGGTTGAGTAAAGATTTGTTCATAATTATGCTAGAAAAATACAGTCATTATTTAGGAAAAAATACAAACACATATAACCCATTCACATCTACAGTTGATAACATAGGGACATGCTCTAGGCCTAAAGCAGCTAACGTTAAAACTGCATACTGATTTTCAAAGTTGGTTGTGTGCATATGTTTGGAAATATTTTACATGTTGCGTCCCAGAGAAAAGCCTGGGAAATATTTCCCAGATAGAGAACTGCAAATATTGTGCCTGAACATGGTCGGGCAAATAACTGACTAGTTTAGCATGCATAATACAGGCATGGCAAAAAACATCTGCACATTCCTTAATTTGAAAATCCAGACCTATTGTTCTTTGGCTGACAAGATTCCTATTTTCAAACTTCCATCAGTGCTGTACCAGTATGAAACAAAACATGGCTTTTTTTTTTCCTTTTTTTAAAAAAAATCAAGTCCTTCATGACTGCAGGATGTAGTCCTTATCTCTGCTAACCCTTACAATACTTGTATTCTTTGTATGCTGGATAAATTAATCCTATTTGCATAGGACAACCTCTCCAAGGGGGTTAAAGCTCCTCTGCTCCGCACATCAGAAGCAGCCCCTTAAATAGCAGGAAGGGTGCGTCTCTGTTGTGCTGTTAACTCAGGGTGCCACACATCCACAATGAATATCAGGCGATAATCTTCAGCATCCTGCCATACTTCATGTTCAAAAGAGTCATCAAAAATAAGAACTTTCCCTTCTTCCCAGGATCTGCAACACAGAAAAGAACATGATTTGGTGTAGTATTGGAAGTTCTATAGAGCAGACAAGCTATATATCAGCTCTGAGGATGCTCTTTCACATACCAGAATGATTTATACAGTATATATTGCACAGTCAGGACTTTACTACCTAATATAGAGACTGAAGTATCAGGGTTTTCATTAAAAGAAACTACAGAAAGATCAGTCTAATGGACCTTCTTATTACTGAGGGATTGTTTCCCCTCACTCTGCCCACATACACATTCAGACATTTACAATATTTGTTATTTACATACTTTTAATGAGTTGAGTCCAATAAGCAGGAAGCAAGTATTAATAACTAGTGTAGTAATCAACTTTTCTCCTTTTCTAATCAGATACATACATAATGAGCGATGGAAACAGAGGGAATGACCAGTAATCTGATTTTATGGTTCAAAACCAAATTACATTGAATCAATCTGCTTTTTCTGAAAATCAAAGCAACAGAATCAGGCCCTGATCACGCTTAATATTTCAGAGATTTTAAGAGTCTTGTCCCATAAATCCATTCAAAGCACTGAGCCTAAAGACTTTTCTTCAGAGGAAGGTTGCCATGCCATGGTGTACACTGGGTTAACTACACTGTCAAAACTAAACTGGAAGGATGAGACCATGTAATTTAGCAAGCCCCTCTGCTTGCTAAGTGTTTAGCAGAGCAGATCACTGAAAAGATGTAAATACCCTGGGTGATTGTTCACTACAGCATGGAAGAGCTAAGTTTAAACAGTGATA